CATCTCAAACAACTCTAAAGCATTTAATAAAAACGATGAATGTTGTGTGCCACGAGCCTTAAGTATATGGGAAATGATGAGTGGGGGGTTTCTCCTCACTTATCTAGAGTGTTTAGTGTGTGTCCCTTGGACGATATGCGACGCATTCACTCATATATCATAGTCTTTAGTGCAACGTAAATCTCAAACAAATTCAATTCACTTTATTAAAACTCTTAAATCAAATTCAAACCTTTTTATCCTTCGGGATTGTTCTTCAAAATCATTTTCAGAAAAGAGTACGTTATTTTTCTGTTCTACCACAAACAGGCATCGACCCTAATTGCTGGAATGGGAACTTAACGTTACTCATAAAAAATCACCTCAACTGTTTCCTAACCAATTCTTCAGTGTAGCATGTGCATATTCAACTCTGTTAGTTGTAGTATTACCAAAGCGTCAAACTTGATCAATCCAAGCACATACAATATTCTCCTTCACCTGGTCTAGAGTTGTAATCTCAACATATGTCATAAATTTTAGATATCTCACATACACCCTCCTGAAATGTATTAAATATTCTGCATATAACTCTTAGTGGAAGAATTTATAACACCATTCCGTGCATCCATTATACTTTCCAATACCACACTAACTTTGACCATTTTCCCATATTCAACCTTGGTTTTTATGCAAGTTTAAGTTTTCTTCTCACATTTTTGGTTATGTGATACCTACAAAGTAATGAATAGGATGTAGGAAATACCTTTGCAACCAAATTCATCAGTGTGGTATCACAATCGATTATAATGATATTTAGAATATTTTCTCGGTCTTTCAACATAGTTTTGCACACTTCTAAAACCCATTTAATGTTGTCCTCTTTTTTGCTTTCCAAAAATACAAAACCCACTAAAAAGTCATCTTCGTCGAAGTAACATTAACAATTTCCAAAAGTTGAATCAATTATGAGCATAATGGAAATATGTTAAACAACTTGATGAAATCATGATGAGTCCAAAATATATCTCGAATGGTGACTCCATCCTCACATAATTTGTACCTAGAAACATAGTGATAATCATCCAAATGCTTCAACAGTTATTGCATTTCAGTTCTTGGTCCTCTTATCTTTATGTTATTTATGGCACAAACATTGTATGTTTGCTTAATATTTGAGACATTTTGAGATCTTTTCCATTTCAATATTGCAATTACGTTTTGGGTGCCACCATATTCAATGTCATGTCAGAAACAAGTTCCTTCTCCTCGAGATTAAGGTGACATACAATGGGATGACTGACTAACTTGTGACATAAGTCACAATTATGTATACCAGAAACCAGATTAAATTTCCATGTACTATTCCCCTTAAAGTGTCCACGTACCTTAAAAAGAAACTCACACTTTCTCAATATTGTGTCATCTCATTTAAACTTTCGAATAGGTTGTTGGCACCTGCCACTTCTTTCGCATTTCATTGTTACAAATGAATGTCTTATATTAAAACCATTATCAGACCTCTTAATTACAAAGTTGAAGCCAAGTTTGGAGGCCTTTGTGTGGATCCATTGGAGCATATATTCACACTGAACAAACTCCTATTCAGTTGTAAATTGTTCACAAATATCTACCTCGACAACAACCGGTCTAACACCCACCTCGACATCAACCGGTTTTACATCATCTTCGACATAACGTCATCCTCCACTTCATTCGGTTTAATATCCACATACACAATAGCTTTAGGGAAAATATTAGGATGCACCAAATCTACAACCAAGCATAACAGAAAAACAAATTTAATATTCAAATTCAACTATAGAACATTCAGAAAATGCATATTTGGAACACATGCAACCTACTCCAGAAATGCATCACCAAACTCAATGTTCATTTTTACATAGCAAAAACTAGATTAATGCAAGAAATTAGGAAGGAAATTCATGTTCTTTATCTTAAATTGCCGCTTCTTTTTCTTTTTTTGATGTGATAAAACACAAGAATGTTGTTTTGGAGTGCAAAAGTTGATTGAGATTGGAATAAGGTTTTTTTAAAGGGTTTTGATAGAAAATTAGTGTTTGATCATGAAAAAGAAGAAAATGCAAGGGTGGTGTTTTATTAAATTTCTCACTTGGCATTTTTTGGAGATGCATATCTGGAATTGTCATTGAATTGAATAAACTAACTCAATAAATTAAAGACACCATCAATGACATTAAATGGTTATTTTTAAGATGCATCTCAGGACTATTTTTTGGCATAAATGTAGTATGGCTCACTTGCAACACCTTTTTGTGAGTATTATGTGCGTCTGGAGATGCATCTTCGAAATATAAGAAGGATAAAATTGAGTTTTCGATATGCTCACTCTCACCCCATGAAGTGGATAAAGTAATCCCCAAAAATTATTACTTCTCCATCTAAAAAGATTATGACTTTTAATTTTAGTTTTTACAAGCAACAATACTGAAGATGAGAAAAACACAAGAAGGTGGGTTGAATTGTGTTAGCTTTTTCTTTCTTTTCACAAAATCTCTTATCGGATTCTGAACTCAAAATATAGAATCAAATATAGAGTTAAGTGTTTGCAGTGTATAAAATCTAGTTCAGAGTTAGTGAGGGAAAGAAAGAGAGACACAAGTAAATTTATCCTGATTCCTCCCACAAAACAAGAGTAGTCCAGTCCCCTTGAGCTTCTAAGGGATTTCACTATAATCACTGTTGATTACAATTTATTAAGCACATAAGCAAGAGACTTCCAATATAAAGGGAGGTGAAAGTTCTGAGAAAGGAAAATGCTTAAAGAAAATGATCTTGAGAAGAGAAGAAATTACTCTTGTAAATAGAAAATTTGACTCTCAAGATTGGTAAAATTTCTCCCAAAAGTGAAGAGGTTGTTATATATAGAGGGAGACTAACAACACACCAAATAAATAGAAAAAAGAACTTACAAATTAACGGGAATATTCCACCTATGAAATTCAAACTAACTCAAGTGCACTCAAATGCCCTAGGGGAGAATGCCATCCCCTAACATGCGAACCTAAAGCCATACACCTGATAAAGCCAGCGGAGAATTTTAATAATAGAAAAATATTTAATGTGTTTGTCTTTCATTACTTTTGTAATCGTTTCATGACCTACCCACTTCTCGCTAGTCAGACATTATCGCGAGGGACCGACCACGACTTTGAAAGACTTTCTGGCTAGTAAACATCTGAAAAACCTAGAGAAAACTGTCCTGTGTCGCCCAAACATGCTTTTGACATGTCAATAGCCATGGGTTCTATGTGACCATTATTGAAAACAATGTCACAAAAATTAATGTCATCATTGAAAAAACGAATGTTAATAAAATGTTTACAATAAATTATGTTTAAAGTTGTTCTAATTAAATACAATAATGAATATAATAAATATTTAAATTTTGTATTATAAACATTATTACTGAAAATTGAAATCTAATTAAATGTTATTACATTATACTTTTGACCATCCATATGTAATTTAATTTTTAATTTTTATTACTAAACAATAACATCACATCAAATTTGCAACTATTTATTTCATAATGACAATAAAAAATTATCAATTTCTTATTGGCTATCCATATCTAATTTAATTTAATTTTTAATTTTTATTACTAGACAATAAAATCAGATCAAATTTACAACTATTTATTTAATAATGACAATAAAAAAGTATCAATTTCATTTGTAAACTAAATTGAAATATTTATTATCAGTAAAAATATAATAAAAACTTTAATTATAATTATAATTAAACAATACACTACACTTCGTTTTAACCATTAATATTATGTTTTTAGTATACTATATTATTTATCAAAAAAGTTATAAACAAAATATAATTTATGAGAAAAAAAAGGTCATAAATGATTGTAAACAATTATTAAAAAAATTGATGTCATAAAAAATAACTCCGTCATTAAAAACTGTCATAAAAATTAAATAATGAATATAATAAATAATTAAATTTTGTATAATTAACATTATTATTGAAAATTGAAAAATGTATATGAATAATAAATGTATTATTTTATTTTTAAACATTAAAAGTTAATACATATAATGTTTTATCCCAAATATTAATAGCACATAATAAAATGTTACAAACATAATATATTTTCTTTTTATAAATACTTTAATAAAGATGTATATTATTATTTTTATATAGATTTATATCATTTAAAAAAACTCATGAAATAATAAAAATAAAAATAATAGACTTTTTTAAGATCATGAAAGAAAATCAATGAATGAATGGACTTGAGTTATACATCCTAGTGAAAATAATTGATTTAAGGTTTATTATAACTCACAACTCATACATTTTAATGAAGCAATTAGTAATATGAAGAAGGGGTTTAATCCGAGTGAAGTTCCAGGAGCTGCGCAGTCTGCAGGGCAGCTCGATGTGGGAAATAATATTAATTGTTTGTCTGCTGAATGCGAACTGCAGGTACCGGTTAACTCTGTCCCAACACAGAAGAAGGGTATCAAGAAAACAAAGGTTAGACACATGAAAGAATTAGGAGGTTTGTTAGGCTGGAAAGCGTCGTTTCCGGCGAAGAGAAGAAGAGGGAAAGGCACTGCGCAGAAACAGATGCCACAGGCGGATTATTTTGCTCATAAATCCGGTATTGTGTATTCTGTCCCAGACAGTGGTTCTATGGCGGATAGTAGTGGAGCAGGTTGGCAGAGGGAAGATATTGACATTCACAGGAATAACCAAAGGCAATGGGAGTGTATTGATCCGAAGGAGAATGGTAAATTACTAAAGGCAATTGAAAACCTTGGGATTTCTAATCCTAAGGGTAGACTTGAAATTGCAAAAAGAGTTGTAGAATTGATTAATTCCGAAACAGTGAAGGTTAATGGTAAGAAGGAGAAATCACCCGGTTTAAAATGATTATAGGATCCCTTAACATTCGTGGAGGAGGTAGCGCTCTGAAAAGGAGGAGGTTGAGTGCTATAATCAAAAAGGGGGAAGTGGATATGTTCTTGATTCAAGAATCCAAAATATCTAACATGGAGGATTTTGTTGCTTATAGTATGTGGAGCAAGATGGATGTGGACTTTTCGTTTTCAAATTCTATAGGTTTTTCCGGCGGCTTAATAACGTTATGGAAGAGTGATAAAGTGGAAGCGTTGAATAGTTTCAAGGGTGAGGGATTCTTGGGTACAAAGGTGATTTGGAAAGGCAAAATCTACTATGTGGTGAACGTATACTCCTCTTGCGTTCTTAGCAAGAAGAAAGATCTTTGGTCTAATTTGTTAAGTCTCATGGATAGTCATAAAGATGGAGAGTGGATTATTGGGGGCGATTTCAATGCCGTTAAAGATAGGAGTGAAAGAAAAGGGAGACAAGATGGGGAGAACACTAATGAGATGGAGCTTTTTGGCAACTTTATAAATGATAGTGGTCTAATTGATGTTCCTTGCAAGGGAAAGAAGTTCACATGGTATAATAGCAACCGTAATTCGATGAGTCGGATTGATCGATTTTTGATTTCTAACTCCATCGTGAATGATTGGGGAGTTACGGGACAACTTGTTGGTCCTAGAGACATTTCGGACCATTGTCCTATTTGGTTGGTGTCGGACAAAGAGAATTGGGGTCCAAAACCGTTCAAATTTAACAATGAATGGTTTGCGAAAGACGATTTCTTAGCCTTTACGGAAAGGGAGTGGAAAGACATTCATGTGGAAGGGAGAGGTGATTTTGTTCTTAAAGAGAAGTTGAAGATATTCAAAGATAGACTCAAATGGTGGAATAGAGAAGTTTTCGGTAAAATTGATTTGGAAGTGGAGGAAAGGGTGGGAGACATAAATGCGGGGGACGCTTTAGCCGAGACGGTGGCTCCGGGAGGTTTATCTCTAGAAGATTAGAAATCTAGAAAGGAAGCGGTTAGCAAATTTTGGACGAATTTGAGGATAAAGGAAAACATGTTGGTTCAAAAATCTAGAATCAAATGGCTTAATGATGTTGATTCGAACTCCGGATTTTTTCATAGAGCTATTAAGGAGAGGAGAAGACATAACCATATTGGCCCCCTTAATGTTGCGGGGAGCATGATAGAGAAAGTGGAGGAAGTAAAGTTTGAGGTTCATAGGCATTTTGCTAGAAAATTTAAGGTCATGGAAGGTGAGGAATCGTTTCTTGAGGGCATTACTTTTGACGGCATTAATGAAGAAGATAGGATTTTACTGCCTTTGAGATACGACCACCCGAATGAAAGTAATTGCAATAACGAAACGATTCCTACTTTTGACGGCATTAATTGCAATAAAAAACAAGATGTTACCGCCTTTGAGATATGACCACCCGAATGAAAGTAATTGCAATAACGAAAGAAGTCATCCTTCAAGAAACTCAAACATCTTTTGATGAATAAGAAAGAGTATCCATCCGGACCCGGACTTTTTGAAATGCCACATCCCCAAAGAGCCTCCTTAATTTCCTCCTCAAGAAAAGGGCCCTCCTAAATCTACTAATTTGGTTACTCTTGATGATTATAGACCTATTTGTTTGGTTGGTTGCTTGCATAAGATTGTTTCCAAATTGTTAGCAAGTAGATTGAAGAAAGTTCTGGATCGTATTATCTCGCCTTGTCAAAGTGCGGTTGTGCCGGGTAGATTAATGCTAGAAGGTGTTTTGGTGGCAAATGAGTTGGTGGATTATGCTCGGAAGGAAAGAAAAGGGTGTGTTCTTTTCAAGGTGGATTTCGAGAAAGCATATGATAATGTAAGTTGGAATTTCCTTAGATCTATGTTAACGAAGATGGGCTTTGGTTTGTTGTGGAGGAAATGGATGGATAATCTTATTTTTCAAAGTAAGATGTCTGTTTTGGTGAATGGTAGTCCCACTAAGGAATTTGAGGTTGAAAAGGGTTTGAGACAAGGAGATCCCCTATCTCCTTTTCTCTTTGTTATTATGGCGGAGGGTCTAGCGGGTCTTGTTAGGAAGTCTCAAGAGCTTGGTGAGTTTGAAGGCTTTATTGTTAATGGTAAGTGCATGGTGGATTTACTTCAGTTTGCGGATGACACCTTGATTGTGGGGGAAGGTACGTGGAAGCATGTGTGGGCGATAAAAGCGGTTCTAAGAGCCTTTGAACTTGAATCGGGTCTAGGTATCAATTACCACAAGAGTAAGTTGATTGGTGTTAATATTAGTTCGAATTTCTTGGATGCGGCTTCCTTTGTGTTATCTTGTAGGAAGGAAGATATTAGCGTTAATTTCCTTGGAATCCCCATTGGGTCCAATCCGAGGAAAGCATCTACTTGGAATCCTATTTTGTTCAAAATTAAAAAGAGACTCTTGGGGTGGAAGAATCGTTTTTTATCTTTGGGAGGAAGGATAACTCTTCTCAAATCCGTCTTGTGTTCTTTATATATCTTCACATTATCTTTTTTCAAAATGCCAAGTGCGGTGTCTAAAGAAGTTAATAAGATTTTAGGCGATTTCTTGTGGGGAAGTGTGGAAGAGAGGAGGAAAATTCATTGGGTGAGTTGGAATAAGGTGTGTCTCCCAATTGATAAAGGGGGCCTAGGTATGAAATACTTGCCGGATTTCAATGTGGCTCTCCTTAACAAGTGGAGGTGGAGAATTCTAAAAGGTGGAGATGAAGTGTGGCTTCGTTTATTGAAGGCTCGCTATGGTGACATTACTTCCGTCATATTAAGCAAAGGTACGCATTCTCTTGTATCTAACTCTTCTCCTCCTCATTCTACTACTTCATCCCCTTCTTCTTCTTATTGGTGGAAAGACCTTATTTCCATCGGTAAATTTAGCCATTTGGATCCGATGGTTCGTTTGTGCAAATTCAAGATCGAAAAAGGTTTCACCACCCCTTTTTGGGAAGTGAATTGGACGGGTAACTTTTTCTTGATGGACGAGTTTCCGAACTTGTATAAAGAACTAGATTGATATTGGTTTCGGTAGCGGGTATGAGAGGATGGGTCAATCATGATTGGAGGTGGGGTGATATGGGTTTGGCCCCGGCGGAGGTTTCGGGAGGCAGTGGGCCGAACGGGCAGGAAGTAGGGTCTCTTTGTGAGCTGTTACAAGCGTTTGAGCCGGAGAGTAGTGGTTCGGACACGGTTTCTTGGGTTGGAGAACCGGACGGTCTTTTCTCATTTGCTTCGTGTTATAAATTTTATGAGTTTTTTCGGATCCCGTTGGGTCCTCCGAATATTCATGATGACGCTTTTCGATTGATTTGGAAAGTTGAGGTCCCGTTCAAAATCAAAGCTTTTGCTTGGAGGTTATTTAATAATAGACTCCCAACAAAAGATTTGCTAGCGGCTAGAGGGGTAATTTTTTCCAGTGAGAATTCTCTTTGTGTGTTTTGTGGGATTCACCCGGAAGATTGTGTTCATTCTTTTTTCAAGTGTAATGTTTTGAAGGTGGTTTGACGGAGTATGGTTGATTTAATTGGTAGAACCACAGTTCAACTGCCTATAAGAAGAATATGATTATATCAATATAATAGTTATAATTCAAAAAATAAAGCATCAAGTCATAAATTGAATTATGGAACCTTAAATGCATCTTCGTAATCGTCACATGGCATAGTCTCACATTTTGGACACGCTTTCAAAGCTGCATCCTCAGTGTATGATCTCAGCACTCCCTATATTGAACAAATCATTTGTTGGCAGCACGACAAACACTGTCATAGATATTTCAGCTGAATAGTAAATAGAAATGCATATGCATGATACATGATAATCCACGTGCGCCAAAGCAATAACGGCTCCATAAGATTACATTATTTTTTAGATGTAAATCACCAAAGCTGCATTCTCTGGAAAAATGATGTATCATGCATATGTATTATCATGTATCATGCATATGCATTCTCTGCCATCCATATGTATTATCATGTATCATGCATATGCAGCTTTGGTGATTTACATCTAATGAATGATTACCATCAAAAGGATCTCTGCTATCAAGCTGGCTTGTGTGCCCAAATGAAGAAGTTCACTATGCCAAAAAAGACCTTTAGCAGCGCTTTTTTTGGCCTTTAGCAGCGCTTTAAAGCGCTGCAAAAAGTGGCGCTGCTAAAGGTAAAGGCAGCGCTTTTTTTCAATGAAAAAGCGCTGCTAAAAGCTCCCTTTAGCAGCGCTTTTTTAGCTCTTTAGCAGCGCTTTTGTAAGCGCTGCATAATTCCTCCAACCATCCCCCCTTTAGCAGCGCTTTAAAAAAGCGCTGTCTTAGACCCCCCCTTTAGCAGCGCTTTTGCAAAAGCGCTGCCATAGCCCACCCTTTAGCAGCGCTTTTTACAAGCTCTGCCTTAGACCCCCCCCCCCTTTCCAAACCAATAGCAGCGCTTTTGTAGCGTAATATTTGTGACCTTTAGCAGCGCTTTTATGTAAAAGTGCTGTCTAATGTCCTAGATTTTAAAATTTTTTTTTATAAAATATTCACCCTGTTTTGTATATTTTACCAACAACCTGCTTATATTACACAAACCTTCTTATAATTAAGGCCTTTATTTCAGCACTTTGGCCTTATAAATAAAATTCAAACTTTGGCCTTAAATATACGATTCAAACTTTGGCCTTATATGTACAATTCAAAACTTTGGATACATTGTAACTCATGACTTTGTTCATAAACATTTTAATATACACATAAACCTGTTTAAATATGTTACAACAAAATTTGATCCTCAGAATTACAACAACACAAATACATTCAATTCACATATAATTACAAGTCTTCCAATTTGATAACTCTATACAATTCTCAACCCAAGAATAAATTGACACCGTTCCTCTTTAATTTCTTCCAATTTTGCTTTCGTGTAAGTAGCGCACTTGAATTCATCATAATACTACATAATATAACAGATCGAATAAGATTTAAGTTTAAAACTAATTACTCAGATGAAGTATCGGATAATTATCAAAATGAATCATATAACTTATATAATGAATTGATCCATACTAGGACTGGAATCTCAAGTTGACTAGAAAGAATAATTTCTCTCATAAAGCGCAATACAAAATATCCACAGTCAATACCATTGCGCTGCCGAGGACACTGTAAATGGAAAAAACAAACGAACATTTATCCGGATATATAGTTTAAATAGTTTTATCAAGTAGAAGCATGCGAGAATATACCTCTACTCTGATCCAGTTGATGTTGTTAGTCTTCCTTTTTGGCACCGTTGCATCTCTTTGTGCTCTGAATATTTGTATAACTCTAACATAATATAAACACATATTTAGAACAATGTCACATAATAAATAAAGATATATAATTAAAGACAACAGTATATGTCATCACTTACGTATTAACAAAGTTCCTCAGATTTTCATATTTTGTTGTATCGCCATCCAATGAATCTATATAATACACTATTTCTTTCGTCGGATTAATTGCGATCAACAACCAATGTCCACTATAAAATAAGACAACAGTTTAGACGGAAATGTTATATATATAGAAAGGGAAAAATCGAACAATTATAATGAATGAATTTAGAATAAAATCTAACCCATGGCCAGTGTTATATGGCAACAAGAACAACTTCTCCGTAGTCGCGTGCATAAATCTCTGCATTGTGTACTCTTTGACTGTATCTGGTGACTGGTCTATTATACGTGAGTTGACACAACTAGCAGATAAGAATGCGAATACTGAAGTCAATTCATTCGGGACCAATAACTTGTCATACAAGAACCTAAAAAAACATAATCAACATTAGAATATTAATTTAAACGAGCAAATTTTAAAATGTTCAATTATTTAATAAAAATGGATCGGAGTACCTGATGTATGAATGCATAACACCGACGCCCAGTTCAGAATGGTTGAAAACCTGATCAAAATCCTCCTTAGCAATTGTTTCGGGATATTCAAAACCGAAAATACT